ATGGTCATTATCTTGTATGTAATTAGCTGCTACATGAAATCCAATTATATTGAAATAAATCTATATTGTACTTTACTAAAATATTTAAGCTTTAAACTATATATGTTTCAATCATTTACTTTGATAAAATTTCGTTCAACCAAAAATCTGTTAAATCTAAATGGAACTATATTTTGAAAATAGTGATACCAAGACAAATTGGAAATATCAATGGATGCGCCTGCTAAAACGAAATACAAATGATGATAAAACGAGATGCTTTCAATAGATTAGCATTTTCAGATCATTCATCGATGTAGTGTTGAAATAAATTAATATGTTATAATCTACGATGTTTAAATGGACAAGCAATTAATAAACCCTTGTAACTTCGCAGGACGCTGTGATAAACGAATTGAAAAACAAAACAAGATTGGTTCAGGAGAAGAAACTGTTGCAGCAAGATGAAGTCTATAATGGTGCTCTGGAGGACATTCTTCTTGGGCTTCGATCGGAACCGTATCGTCGAGCGGACGCGGTCAGACGTAGTCAACGTAGACGCATCGATAATCACAGACTTTCTCGTACTGCTGAAGAATTGGAGCTTTAAGCCGCATTTTGTTCAATTTTCGATTTAGACAAAATTATTTTCTCTTAGACAAAATACTACGTACTATACCTTGACTGTAATTTCTTAGTAGCGTATCAAGTAACTCTTTCATGACTTAGTATTTTTTTTATAAACGTTATTATTCATTTTTGTGATGGTTACCATAATAATTTGAATCGACAGAATATAAATTTAGGAATTTGTATATACAACGTTTTGCATACAGATTTATAAGAAGTCGTCCACTAGTATTTAAAACTAAAGTAATACTATTGGCCTTTACATATTAAAGGTACAGTATTAGACGATTTTTAATGCGATCTAATTATTCAGTCAACTGTTTAAGAAGATTAGATATATTATTTATAATGTATTCAGCTTGATAAAACTGTTAAAATTAATTCTGAATATGTCATATATGATTTCTGTATTTAAGATCATCAAATGTGAAAGAGTTAATTGAGCGATACATTTTTGAAAATATCTACAGTATAGGCAATTGCAAAAATCATAAAACAGGACGAACTTATTAAAAATTATATTGAACCCTCATACATGCAGACTATCGCAGATTGTGTGATACAATAGTATAAAGATATCCTACACGCAAAAATGACTCGCAAAAATAGAATGAGATTTCTTTTGTTTCTTAAGGCATCGCTTTTAAAACAATCGAGTTTGAAAATTTATCTAGTGCATTAGTATTTACAAAAAGCAAGATCGATAAGTCACTAACATAAAAATGTTGACCACTTTCTATTCACTTGCACGTACATATGATATGTTTTCAAACTTCATTTTTATAAAAGCACAGCTTCAAAATAGAAAAATCTGATTCCTTTTTCCGACTTGATTTTGTTCGTTTGCACTCTGCGAAATTCTGTCATTCTATGTATATTTGCCAAGATTTAAAC